ACCATGCCACGAATGCGTGCGGACAGTGGAGATAAAGCTCCACGTATTCGTCACTAGTTTGAATGTCACCTTTACACTCCGATGTTTGTAAATACTGCCATTTGTATTTACTATCGCGAGAAAACAAGTGCGTAACAATTACACCCCTTGAGTAGAAGTCTCCTAGCTGAAAAGGGTTGACTATTGTTTAACCAGGTATCTTCAAGGTAAACTCTACGACGTCTGAAATCGTATCTGTTTCGAATCTTTATGCGTCGAGTCACACTCTTAATTATTCCTTCCCGGCATGAATATCTTGAAGCTAATTGTGTTCTGTTCTTCCTGTATTTCTATCCTGTGTTAAAATCAGCGTGTCAAGGACTGTGTTAAGACAGAGACGAATACAACTGTACACGCTGGCAGCTTCGTTACAATTAACACATTTAGTGCCAGTGTTTTCCTTTTTAATATTGTAGTTTTACTGCAGTGTGTAACATACGCAAGCCTAAGGTATAGAAGCTAGAAATTTGTACTTAAGAGAAGTGAATTTTTTCCCCATATTCGCGTTTTGTAATATTTCGTACCTCAGTAGCCTTGGTGTTCAATCATCATTTTAAACTACCTTTCTTGAGAGACCAGTCAAGGGTCGGGTCCATAATGAAGCCCCTGAGGACCTAGGGTATGATAATTTGCTGCTTGGTTAGGGACGTCCACACACCTAATGGGGCAGTGATGAATTAATTACATTACAGATACGCTGCCAATATTTACCACAATCAGACATATAAGTAGAATTTCGGGTTTTCTCGACTGTGCGTCATCAGGGCGATGTGTAAATGGACTGAGAAATATCTTCATTATGGCAGTACACGTTTCACATGCTTATTATAAAAGCGCGCGTTGTCCTTTGAGACTGGGTGTGTCACTTTAGTTTAATTTAATTATAAGTACACTATTATATCTTTTGAATATACGAAACAAAATGAAAATAAAACTTTGCTGTTATCAGGCCATTACTGACGTAACGGACCACCAGTAAAAATCAGACCTCGGTAGGTAAAATTGTCATAACGATCTGTAATCCTTAGGCTGTTAATGTAGTTGTAGTTCTTACATTTCTGAGTTTCTAGATGCTATTCTTGGTTGGGTTACCATCTACCGTCATGGTTTTCCTCCACGTAAGTGCAGTGGTATTTCAATGAATGTTTTCTTTAAAATAACTGTTCGTAACTCCTGGAAGCATGAATCTCATGTAAAAGCACAGCTGTTTAAAAATACAATCCGAACCTCTTGCAAATATTATTTAGTTAATGATGTTTAGGAAAGTAATGACTGTTTGCTTCGAGAGAAAAATGAAACCGTTAAATACACTATGAGCGAGCACAAAGTGTTGTCTATTTATGAGTTGCCGATCTAAAGATATAATTCGAGCCGAGTTCGTCGTTCGTGGCCTGTGTAGGCCATACAAAATGAAAACTATCAGATGGAATATCAGAACGTTGTGTTACCGACCTCTTTTTTCTCCCCGTTATAATGGAATAAATATGTCACGAAACGTACTTCCGGGACGCTACGCAACGTCTGTGTTCTCGTTTCCATGGACGACTTCTAATAAAACCTGACGTAACTATTCCACTCAGAATACAATTCCTTATCAACGAATGAGTTATAAATTTTTCTAATCTGCGTTTCTCTTAAAATAGAATTCCATAGGAATCCACACCGAACATGAGTTAACAGTAGTAATGGACTTGGTGAGAAATTTCTGTTCTGATTCTCACCTAGTTACAACATCGGCAGCTGTTTTAAGGCGTGCCATTCTTGCCTGTGGGCTACTCAACTCAGTAATTAATTAATCACAGATTAAAGGCTGTCTGACTGAGAGATAAAGTTGCTGATTTGAGACAGAGTTGGTATTGTATTATATGACATTTTCTCTTATTCTGGTATCGTACGCTTATTGAGTTAAAATAATGGTTAAAAGTATTTAAACGTTGGTAGCCACAAGACTACACAGCGTCATAATCCATGAAGCGACAAACAACGCCGCGAAATTCTTAAATCTCATTTAATATCAGCTGAGTCGATGTCGAAAGACTGCGACCAGCACAAATGAGGAATGTCCTTATTCTGTTGGGTGTTTCGAGACTAACATCGCCAACGAAATACAATGATACAATAATGAGTAATGAAATGCTTCAAGTATCGGCGAAAATAAGTTTGTCCAGATGAGCTGGCACAGAATGGAAACGAGTAAAAGAATTTCAGAAGAAAATAAGAAGAGACCAAATATAACAGGAAAGTTTTGGAATAAGCAAGTCTCTAATTCTTCATGATGATGAATATTCTGGATTTGAGCTGTCGAGAACATGCTGAATTTTGTGAGATTTGAACACGTGAACATCGTCGCCATATTTCATTTTACTTTCAACACTGAACAACTTTAGTGCTGACCGTGGGATACAAGGGTTGAGGAGCCTTGGTGTTGAGCCTCACATAATGGCATGACCGGAAGTAACGCAACAGCTGGGCGGGTAAATGCGCCTTTTTTACTGAATATCCATAGCCATGGTCCTGAAAACAGAGGTCATCACTTCTGTAGGGACGGTCGTAGGAAACTGCTAACTGGTGTTGAAGTCCACAGGAATGGAGAACTGTAAAAATGTGCGATATTTAACACTGGGAGTATTTATTTAGTGTTCTGTCTGACGAGGAGTATTTATTTAGTGTTCAGTCTGACGACAGGTCCATATGAACAGGATCCTTCCATCCTTTTCTCGGACTGGGACCTGTTCATATACGTTCTTGGCAGATGATCCAGAAGTGGTTTGCCATTGCCTTCTTCTGTGTGTGAATGGAGTAATTGTTGGGATGCCACGGAGAAACAGGGGAAGCCCCCGGAGGAAAACTTCGTGTTGCCTTGACCACGGCCTTGCCCAACACAAGTTATAAATTCGGGCACCGCCGGGAATCGAACCCGAGTCCCCAGGATTACAAGGCCAGCGTTCTGACAACCCTAAATTTTGTTGCATATGTTATGATGGCGACGAAATACCAAATCTTCAGATTCACCACCGCTTCCAACCATTTGTGACCGCCATGTTTCTCATTTGATCTATGTAGTTGACACGGTGTTAGATAAATAAAGAATAAACAACAAAATGGATCGATATTTAAGTCGCATGATATTGGATTCTGCCATTAGATCCGAATAATATCCCAGTTTTGCTGAACGGTCGTGGGTTTCTGCCTCGCCACTGTAACTACTATTATGATCCCTTGTGCATTGTTTTAACACGTCTCTTAATTATAATTTAATTCTACTAACTGCGATATGACGACAACGCCCAAGTTAAGGAAGACACTGATTAAAGCGAGTGAGAAAGTGTTCTCAAATGAAGGACGTATAATTACCAAATGCTTTATTTACTACATTGCACACCGAATCGGAAGTAATGTTTGTTTTTTATGCGGAATCTGCATAATATTGCAGATACAAATAAAATTAAACTTTTAGATATTACTGACATACATATTTTGCCATGTACCAATATTTTGTACGATAAGCAGTCCCCTTTAGAATAACGTTAGATTTTAGCTTCGTGGGAAGGTTATTATTTAGTTTTTATTATATTTTATCGTTTTCTGGGTAGATTATGAATGAATTTTATGTCGCTAATGTGCAATACCTACCAACAGTGAAATAAATATCAAATAGGGTAATCACGTCTGTGTGTCTTTGCCACTTTATTAATATATTTAATTTCCGAAACTACTGATCGAATTTTTATTAAATTTGGTATTGGGGACTAGACTAACAGCTGTCGAGCGAATTTAATTTTGCTTCGTTTATGAACTTTGTACAAATAACGAATGACTTCCTTAGGAATTTGTAGGCGAATATGAGACGTGTATAATTTCACGCATTGCAATCAGATAAATGCATATTAATGGATGTCTGTTTAAGCTGTTTATCTCTTAGCAGAGTTAAGTTTAGATAAAGTTACGAAAAACAGAGGCACAAAAACAGAGAGATGCGAAAGTGTAGCTTACCATGTCACAGAGGGAACTTTCACCTGCAAAGAGACGAGCTTATTCACGGCCTGGCGGTCTTAATGCGAAGATTTCAGAGAAATTCAAATAGAAACTCAGCTGCTTGCCAGATACTGCTTGTTCTTTCTACACGAATTCTAGTGGATCTAATACTTGTAGCATGATATGACATGAGTGGGTGAGGTGAAATCCCATGGTATATCCTTTATTTATTAATGCGCCCTTTTCATTTTAACATACTTCATTGGCCTTGATGTTCATTCATTATGCATTTGTACTGTTGTCACAAGGGAGACGTAAATTTTGTGTCGGCATTGGGACCATAGGCTTGGCATCGATGTGCCAGAATATGCTCTGTAATTGGCTTCTGTACTGTCGAATTTACACTTTAAAATAAATAATTTATTTAAATAATGGGAACCACATTTCAAGATATGAGAATAGCAAACTGTCAAACTTTGTATGCATAAAACATCCTTCAGATAATGGGAAATGTCAAACAAAATTTTAACGTAAAAATCGTGGTCAGTGAATACTCTCTGTTTCTTTAAAGTTGACAATAGCTAATATTTCCAATTTAATATTTTGCACTCATTGAACAAATTGTTACGTATTTTTGAATTTACGACAGACAAACATTCTCTATGAGCTAACATTAATCCTCGAGATTCGATCCAGGAAGAAACGAATTAATAAACACTGAGGTAACACTAGAGATGAAATGTAGGAACAACAGTGTTTTCAATATTTCGATAATAGAAGGACACGTACAAGCGTCTGTAACAGTTTTACAATGTTTTGAAACACTTCAGACATCATCTCCTAACATAAAAGCGTTGCCGATATTGCAGGTACCTGGCTAAACGACTCAGCTGTTAAGGCTCCCATTGTATTAGTTTGCCGTGAACGCGTGAGCGCTGTAGTCGAGAAAATCGTACGTCATAGAACGGGTCTGTGGTGTGTTCAGTCAGTGGAGTTGGAGGTTGATCTCGTTCAAGGGGAGTTGTGTGTTGTGTGTTAAAGTGTGTCTGTACGTACCAGCGCTTCTTCTCTACGGGTTATTGCAACATTTGTCGAAGTCACACGAACAGACGGATATGAATTTGTAGGTCGGTGTAGCATATAGTGAAACGTGTTACCTGTGAAATCGTCTGCAGATGATGACGTAGGAACAGTCCTGATGCTTGGATAATTCTGATTGCATGGAGTTTTCTTGCGAAGTGGAAAATATTGTTTACTTATCACCGAGATACAACTGAGTGTTCCTGTAGTGTGGGGACTTAGATGCATTTATCAGATGCGAAACATAACAGTGCATTGTAGCAACAAGCATGCATGTGGATTACAGGAAATAGATTGGCAGCTGGTACGAGGGGTGGGTAATGTCCTGGTTCAATGGCGCGTGTTTCGAAATCCTCATGAACCGAGAAGAGGGCCATGAAGCACAATTTGACAATTATAATGAGAATCTGTGAAGACGGCTGCTACCAAGTATGAGCCGGGGTTACTACGTACCTTGCGCGCCATTTCTTTATTTGGTGAGTAATATTTTCGCATCTGCTTCTTACACAGATCTTCAAATTCGTCTTTAACTTTGCATGTTTTAATTTTGTTTTAAATAGATTATTTCATTGACATGTATAGGATACTATTTTGTTAGATGGAGTGTTCTGGAAAGTTAGTGTACAGAAACTTGTGTGTATAATTACATGGTGTCGTAAGACGATACGGATCAAACTAATATGTAAAGTAAAAGATAATTAAAATGTATTTAGTTTATATCAATATACATCGCGTAATTCCTAACACAGTTCCAGTGTAATGAATCAGACGTAGGAATTTCAGGGGAGTAGAACCCGTTCTTTTCGTTAGACATCCATGCACTGATACTTGCGAACTTAACGTGGCAGTTCTTGTGTACAGTTATAAATGATCCAGTTTTATTAAACTTTATGCAAGATAATATCAGTGAAAAATCTTTAGTTCCTTGTACTTGTAGTCTGTATATTTGTAATATAGTGCCAGTTTGACTCATTTTTACTGTCTCTCGACATAATTACACTGCTGACAGTCGTCTGAGTTTGTAGGCTTGTTGTAGCTTGTGTTGCCTTGAACGTGTTTCTGCAACAGGCTCAAACTCAGCGTCAGTTTGAATTAGGCCCAAGCAAGCTGGAAAATTGTTTCACGGCGAGTTTCATAATTTGTAATCTCAGTCAATATTACTAGGGCGATAAACTCGAGGAGTGTGCGAAGGGCGGGACATGCAGCACGCATTAGGGAGATGGAAAATGTGTACAAAGTTTTGATCGGAAAACCTTGAGGGCAGAGACCTCTTAAAAGACGTAGATAACGTTAAATGGGCCTTGAAAAGGATGGTGGAATGTGGACTTGATGTGGCTGTGAATCCGAAGATGGCTGGGCTGTAGCGCCGTGTAGTCTGGTAGTTTTCCACCGTTTCAGAGATCCCTGATGCTTCCATCATCAGGACATTTCAACTATTGATTAAACTGGGCGTATGAACTATCGGATGTTGTGTGCTGTGACGCCTTGTGGACTCGTGGGTTGGTACAGAGAAACACACTGTCGCGATCTTGAGGGCAACGTTGAAGATGGAGACAGTATGTTTATCCGAAACGTTAGTATTTACCTACGAGTCCACATTGAGTCACAACCCAGAACGTCTTCGGCAGAAACTACGTTCGTGGACGGTCTCTCATTGTAACAGCGGTGGAAAATTCCAGTTGTCTTTCGATGCGGGTGCCCTCATTGTATAGACCAGCGGTATTCAACCATTTTTTGTTCGCGTACCCCCAGATATAATTTCTCTTCAACTTTGTACCCCCAAAGTTGTTGGTGTATAATTCAAGTTATACATAGTATATAATCTACATCTAAAATAAATTAAATAAATTACATTACTGATTATTCAGTATTTATCGTAAAATAATATATAATTTTTTTTTTAAATTTCGCGTACCCCAGGTTATAGTCAGTTCCTGGACTACATTGTAGTTTTATTGTGGTGGAGAGTCTGTTCTGTCTCATTCGGCGTCTTGGGTAGTTAAATATGGGTTATTTTTTTTTATTATTTTCGTTACAGACATGTTTAGCTGCAAACGCATTTTTCAGCCCACATTTAGATAAAAGTTTCCTGTCCGATCTATTTTACCTAATAATGATTGCTGTGCTGATATGAAACAATTTGGAGAAACCATATTTTTGCATCGAACGGACTCTGCGAAAATTACACTACAGCTGAGAACAAGTTTTTTGGAGACGAGGAACAGAATTAAATGAACAACATAAATGCAGCTGGGTTTTTTTCGTATGCAATATATTAATATTTGTATACGGACGAAAAGTAGGCCAGCATTTCAGTGTGCAGACCATTATGGCGTACTGGACAAGATATGTGGAATCATAGTCCGGCTTTGATTAGAGACGCGTTTTTATTTTTCAGACTGTGGGTGGGTGGGGTGGGGGGTAAAAGTTGAATACTGTTTTACGTGACGTCATTGGTGGTTGTCGTAAGAAGCGGCCACATGATAGTCGATATAAAAAGCGGTTCATTGCCCATTGGTATTCCTCGAGATGTTGGTCACCCACAACTCACGGACTTAGCCTACTGAAATGGCAACATGCGTGCATCTGCACTTATTCCACTGCTTACACTTTTTTTCCTCGTGTTGAGAGAGCACTCTCGTCGTCTCCTTATTCTACGCCACTTTCTCTGTTGTGTTCTCATTTTTATTCTCATGTTTCTTCAGCTGATATTCGTTTTCGGTCATTTTCTCCGTCTGCAACCGATCTGCTTTTAAAAAAGTTATTTTTCAACGAAATTTAGCAATGCCCAACCCATGATAAATGACCTGCTTTATTTTTAAACACCGAACCTGTGACCTGTTAGCAGTAGTCTGTCTTGACATAGACGATTATTCTATCAATTTTAAATATCAGGACAGATTAGCGGGGCATGTAGCACGCACAGGGAATAAATGCGTACATTTTGGTCGGAAAACCTTAAGGGAGATCTCCTCTGGGATCTAGGCGCAGATGGAAATACAATATTAAAATGGATATAAAATAAATGATATTTTAAAGAAACAGGTTATTTAACGTCTTTCACGAAGTAAATAATTAATGTGCCAAGAACTAATTAAATGTCTGTGAATTGTACTGCAGCGTCACAGAGTGACCACTTATCTCGTTTTTCCTGACCTCAGGCAAAATTTCGAAGGCCAATATTATTATAATGTGTTTACGAGCGATATTAAGCCCGACGTGAAGTGTTAATAACTGTTTGTTGGCCCTTCGTTTTGTGTCCATGACAAAGTTTTGCAAGACTGTGTAACAGGGTTACCCGGAGGTCATTTCTTCTTGTATGCAGTGTCTGTACGTAATGATCGATTTCTCTACGTTACAGTGTGGCCACATCGCCCATGCCACGTGTAATGTGAGCTCCAGGTAATACATGGAGTGTGGTATATCGTATTTAAATGCAACGACCTTGACCTAGGTCACTCTGCTATTCCGTAAAGGGGAAGTAATGGTAGAAACTCGGAAGATGACCTCGTGTCACAGGTTTTGCTACAGTTTGGTCCCCTAGCGGTTGTGTAAAAACTCTTTACAACTTTAGATTTGTGTTTTTAAGGAGTGGTAACTTAGTAAAGTCAACTGGACGGGGTTAAATTCCAGGGAGGCGGTCTTGAGGTCTAGATGGAAATACAATATTAAAATGTATATAAAATAAATGGTATTTTAAAGAAACAGGTTATTTAACGTCTTTCACGAAGTAAATAATTAATGTGCCAAGAACTAATTAAATGTCTGTGAATTGTACTGCAGCGTCACAGAGTGACCACTTATCTCGTTTTTCCTGACCTCAGGCAAAATTTCGAAGGCCAATATTATTATAATGTGTTTACGAGCGATATTAAGCCCGACGTGAAGTGTTAATAACTGTTTGTTGGCCCTTCGTTTTGTGTCCATGACAAAGTTTTGCAAGACTGTGTAACAGGGTTACCCGGAGGTCATTTCTTCTTGTATGCAGTGTCTGTACGTAATGATCGATTTCTCTACGTTACAGTGTGGCCACATCGCCCATGCCACGTGTAATGTGAGCTCCAGGTAATACATGGAGTGTGGTATATCGTATTTAAATGCAACGACCTTGACCTAGGTCACTCTGCTATTCCGTAAAGAGGAAGTAATGGTAGAAACTCGGAAGATGACCTCGTGTCACAGGTTTTGCTACAGTTTGGTCCCCTAGCGGTTGTGTAAAAACTCTTTCCAACTTTAGATTTGTGTTTTTTAAGGAGTGGTAACTTAGTAAAGTCAACTGGACGGGGTTAAATTCCAGGGAGGCGGTCTTGAGGTTCTTTTCATTGCTTCTGAGGACCACCAAACCTCCTACTGAACCTCACGTCTAGACCCTTTCATTGCTTCTGAGGACCACAAAACCTCCTACTGAACCTCACGTCTAGATGGAAGAAGCTCTCGTATGTATTCGGGAGGTCCTCGGTTGATATTCCGTCCGGAGACCGGTTAACCTGATGGACGGTTTTCGTTTTCAGTAACTGCATTCAAATTATGGGATAGTACTTTAAAGTTTTTGGCAAGAACCGCCTCCTTCCATATCAATTCTAATTCATAATTCATCGGTCTTACCATTCGACGTTATAGTTTATGTGTCCTCAACACCTGCTATGTCTTTCGTTAAAGAAAGCGAAGTAGAACATTTTAAAACAGTGGAGATGACGCGTTCGAATGCCTTTTTATAATTTCTCGTCTTGTTTAGTGAGGATTCAAATTTATGCTGCAGAATTGACCACTCTGCATGATAACCTACCGCACTGCACAGCTTATTAAATTCTTGCGTTTAATTTTGTCATTGAATACATTGTATTATCCACTCATAGGAGCATTATGTTGGACACTGTCCATTGTCAGGTGTATTTGATATACACGACGTTTCGGGAGTTGACTCATTTAGTAAGTAGCGCCTCGTCTGCAGGCTCGTGACATTTACAGCAGGTAGTGGGCAGGTTAACAGAACGGTGGTTTTATATTGACGTAGATATCCTCCGGAACGGAAAATAAACCCGGGGCCTGCAGAATTCATAGCAGGTGTCCTAACCACTCGACCGTGAAATTTGTAGAAGAGCATGGAAGTCGCTCAGTAAATATTAAATACTCTATAAGACGACCACAACATGATCATGACAATCTGCACTTTCTGTGAAAAGTAAAGAACGGTACCCCCAGAAAGTGGCAAGGACCCGTTATATAAATGAATTGTGTTTACATAAGCATGACTCTGGTCTTCGGAGTACAGAAAAAAGAAGCATATGGCGTCGCTTGTGAGAGGGAACTCAGGTAACTGGCCACTAGGATGTATGCGTTTATTTGTCCTTTTATGACGCACTGTGTCATCTGGCCAGCCAAGTTCTGTTACGCTAGTTCTGATCTTCGTTTGTATGTTTCGTCACTGTTTGTAATGTATGGATGAATGATCTGTTTCTTTAAGGAATTAGAACGA